GATATACTTAATAACTAATAAATAGATAGTAATTACTTAATTATTAATTAAATATTAATTTATTACTATTAAGTTATAATTTTGTTAATAAAATAATAAATAATATAGTAATTATTTATTTAGTTATAGATTAATTGTCAAATTTTAATTATATAACATATTAACAATAAAGCAAGTAATAATAAGTTATTAAATAAATAATTAATATATCAATCATATATTATGTTAATTATAATCTATTAATTAGTAAATAGTTGGTAAATAAAAAATAAATAGTAATTACTCAATTAATAATTAATATGAAATTATAATTATCAATATGCAATATATTAATAAATAATAAATAATAATTGATAATTAGTAATTAATCATTATAAAAAGAATACTTACAAAAAATTGATCATGTGATATATCAAATAATAGATTATTAAATAAACATTAGTAATTAATTAACTAATTATTTAATTATGTAACTAAAAGTTAATAATTTAAGTAGTAAAAGGAATATTAATAAATGATGTATATACTAATTATTTCTCTTAATACACTAATTAATTACGTATAATCTAAAAAATATGAGTACATTACTAACATAGTAATTATTTATAATTAATTACTAATTACTAATTTTAATTATTTAGCATATTAATTTATTATATTTTTTTTAATTACTAATGTACGCATTAATGATAATTCATTATTATTACATTATTAATGCATTAATTTTTATTTGCTAAATGATTATCAATTATTAATTACTTTATATATTAATTTAAGATTATTAATTACGGTTATTTTAACTACTCACAGCAATTCAACCTCACAATTTACCAAACGCTATTACACTATTTTTGGAACCAGCAATACTTATATAATTACAGTTTACCAAACACTCAGCTGTTTTTTGTAATAATTATTTTTTCAAAATCTGCAGCACTACCGAACTGGCTCAAGGTGTTGGACCAAAGGGTTTATTTTCAAGCCAATCTAAGCTCCGAAACGATAGTAAATCTCACCGAAATTCTTAAAAAAAAACATAGGTAACCAATTCTATTACCTCAAAAGCACCTTTCTAATTCGTTCGTATAAAATCTAATACATTTTAAAATAAAGAAAATGCTGCAGGATACATCAATTGGTGGAAACTTTTATGGTTTATTAATTTAGCATCAAGAATGTATGCCTAGATAGATTATGTGCGCTTTTGATAACAAACAACAAATTTTTAGCTTTTTTTTTTTTTTGTAAGTAAGAATTATTAAGTAAAAAAGTTCTTACGAACCTAAACATAAAGTATCTGAAAAAAGATGAAGAAAACAACATGCAAAGTAGAAGCCTTTTAAAAAAATATGACTATTTTCATTTTTATTTCCTTCTCAGTTAAAGCACTGAACTTAATAGGACTTAGCATTTTCTTATCTTTATTTGAAACTTTTTTTTTTTTTTTTATAATTGACGCCAGTACCTTATTATGGATGAAACTATGTCTACAAGTCTCATCCACTCCCTGTTTCTTTTTCTTGACCCTACATAAGGTAGGTTTTCTTCAAAAATTTCGTTACATATGTAATTAATTTGGATTACTTTCTAATTCCTTTATAAAGAATTTTGTGATCGAATAAGAAAAAAAAATATCAATAAGGTAAAATGAGAGTTTTTAAAGTTTAGGATACAAATTGAGAAAGACCTTAAAGGCACCAATAAAATTAACGAAAACTTATTTTTAACTGTTGTACCTTTTCTAAACTGTCCCTATGTGTGTGTCTTCAAGAAAAGAAATGGAATAAAATAGAGAAAAAAGATAGAAAATAAAGAAATAAAGAACTATATGGAATATGTTGCATTTGCCATTTTCAGTCAACATGTTCACACTAGCCAGGATAGATATATAAACACATTTTGTAGCAAATTAACCCTATCTTCCTTCTATTCCTCCCTCACTACTCGATCTTTTCTGTTCTTGCATCTCTTTCTTTCATATCGTATCAAAACCTATCTATTGGGAGAAAAGGTGATAACTTGTTTTTTAATCTTAGATAACAAGGTTAGTTACGTTCAATTGCATGCCTACATAACATGGTCATCTAGCAAAGCAAAATACACCATTATTAGAGTATCAAAAGGGTGTAAATAACAAATTAACAAACTGGATCGAAGAGCACATGGAAAGAGGCCCTTTCCTTCCGATCATCATGAATCGGAGGAGAAAGAGGCCGCCGAAGATCATCTCCTCTTTCCCGTCTACTCGGCGCGATCCCAACAAGACATGTCTGCCATAGTTTCAGCCCTTTCTAGAGTTATGGGTAGCAATGATCATATGGTTGGTCAACACCAATCTCACCCTCTTCAAATGCATGGAAACCCTTCAATTTCAACCGATAATTCCAGCATGGCCCTGCAGCACCATCAATCTCAGCCTCTCCAAGAAGATCAAGGTAATTATACACATCCTGTATATCCGATCAAAATTTAATTATTGGTGTAACTTTCTTGTCCAAAACCCTTTTTCTTTGTTCGTGAAATGAATATATAAATTATAACATTGAACTTAATTATTTCCTATGATGATTCACATATCTCTTTCATGGGATTTAGGGTTTTTAATTTCTATTTAGCTATTTGCTTCTGTTTAATTTCAGAATCATTTTTTTTTCCTTTTTCTCAGCCCCATTTTTATTTGCTTTCAGACCTAAATATTCAATAAAGTTATAGGTGTCAAACGCGTCTTTCACATGAGTTCTATATATAATTTATCTTCTTTACATATCTTCATGATTTGCATAAGAAATTTTAACGTTTCACTTGTCAATTATTTTGTGAAATCATCAAAATTTATGTCTTTTATTCTTGCTTGCTAGTACTACTCAATTTGTTTCTCGTTAATTTTGCATAAAAGGGACGAAGGGCGCAATCGGTATATATAAAATCATCTGGTCCCTTGGATTTAAATGACACAATTAATTTCTAGTTAAAACTAAATTGTTGAAATTATTTGATGTATATAAATAATTTAACCCTATTAAGGGACGACTGATGAGTTCAAAGTTATGCATATAAAATTCGTTTTGGAACACGTACACATTACATGTTGAAGGGAACAAAAGGAGTACTATTACTAGAAGACACTACAGAGGAGTGAGACAAAGACCTTGGGGCAAAGGGGCCGCGGAGATTCGCGATCCGCAGAAGGCGGCGAGAGTATGGCTTGGTACTTTTGATACGGCGGAGGCTGCAGCTCTGGCGTACGATGAAGCGGCCCTAAGGTTCAAAGGAAGCAAAGCTAAGCTTAACTTCCCAGAAAGAGTTCAAGGTGGAACTTTTACTAATCCTAGTATTAGTACTGAATTAGGTTATAGTAACTTCAGTACTACCACCAATAATATTCTCATTAATCAAGATTCCGCAGCCAATAGTGCAACAAATCCTCCTTATTATCCGCCAATTACACAATATCCTAATCAATATCACACAGCTTTTCAGTATGGTCAGTTTATTCAGAGTACTGGAGATAGTACTACTACTAATGTAAGTTATAATGATCCACAAAGTTTTTATGGAGGACAATATCAAAGGTTAGATAATAATAATCTTCCTCAAGTTTCAATGATATCTACTCAACAACAAGAGGAGCTTCTGAGATTGCCCATGCAGTTTGGTTCTTCTTCTTCCACAATATCAGATCCTTTCAGAAGTAGAAGAGATTATAATTCTAATGATGATCACTAGAAAGTATCATGATATATAATATACACATATATATACACCCTAGTTCGTAAGGAAGGAGAGAGAGAGAAAGGGAGGAACCTTGGATCATCCATTTAGATATGCTTTTTTTTTTTATGGTTCAATTTAGTTTTCTTTTCCTTTTGCAATCATTTCATGTCTTGTTTGTTTCTTTGCTTTTTAATTTTGTTATCAAGAGTTTGCTGCTCAAGAAGAGAGTGTTGTATTTATCTTTTAATATAAATTCAGAGTTCTTGTCATGATATTATAATGTGCATCTGTGTGTATCAATCGTTTATAATGCCTGACAAAAAAAAAAAGAATAAGAAACAAAGAATGAAAGAGAAAAGTGAAGCAGCCTTCTGACCAAATAGCTATAAAGCGAAATTTAAAATAAAAGAAGGGGTTAACAAAAGTTAATTAATTAGTGAAGATGTCAGGATGGTGTAAAATTTTATGCAACAAATATATACATTTAGATCTCAATAATAGCATGATAACATGATCGTAGTTCAAAGATATGCACGCTCAAACATTCAAGTCCAGAAAGAAAGAGAAGAAAAGAAATATTACCTTTCATACAGCATCTATATATATAGTAATTAATCTCTTATATTCGTTTTGAGCATTAATGGAATCCAACATCTGTCGATCTCTGAAGCAATCGGGCCATACCCTATTCCATGAACTTTTTCCATTTTATGTGTGTCGTTTATAATATATGCATACGTCTGTGTGCGTGTGTGTGCATGTGTGTACGTATAATACATACAGACACACACATCTATATGCATTTCCATAGAAAATCGATTATGGAGATTCTCACCTCTATATATATATATATATATGTGTGTGTGTATATATAGATGATCGATAGATATAAAGAACGACCTAGTTTCTAAGTTGATTTTATATCCATCAACAAGTCGTATTTGACTAGCATGCATGTGATTGGTCATGTTATTTAGTTTCTGAACTCATAATTTTGATGGCGAAAGTTAATAGGAAAGAAACAAAAAGTTTAACGAGTCATGTAATATTTGGCAGATTGTCATTTGTATATATTATATATTGGTCATGGAAATCGGCATTGAAATGACAAAATATTTGAATGCTTTCTATGATAAGCTTAAGTAACACAACAAGTGGATAAGTGTCGATTTTTGAAGGTTCTTTCAGTGGGTTGAACACGTTAATAAGCCTGACAGCCGAAATTTGGTTTTCTCTCTCTTTCTTGTTTCTTCACTTGGTTTTTGACTAACCCCAGAAAGTTCCTGCGTTGAGATTTATGTGTGGACGAATTATTCTTTATCTCCAATAATGCCAATTAATTCATGTAAAATGTGGGACACAAGGATATAAACATGATAATTGCTGAGTTTTTTTTTCATCTTTATTTGATAAAATTAAACTAACTATAAATAGAGCATTATTATTAAATATCTCTATCATTACACGTATGTGTCGCAATATTTTATTATAAAAAGTGTTTCCGCATTCCACCAAACTATACCAAATATTGTTTTAGAGACAACAAATGACATTAAAAAAAGGCGCTTGAATATCACAACGAAATTCACACTCTCTAGTAGCTCTATTCCATTAATAAGTTAGTTATTATTACCAAGTATACTAACACTTTTAATCTAGGAAGAACGAATTATTAGGTCGTTGTTCTTTTTCTTTTTTTTTTTCAAAGAACGCATTTTACCATTTAGCTTAATTTAAGTTTTTTTCTCTTAGGGTTTACCTTAGACATAAATACAAAAATGGCTTTATTTCTTCGATCCATGTATCTTTCCTTTTCTTCTATCTCAAGTTACTGATTTTCTCTAACTCATGTCTTATAGTCATGAGAAAGGCGTCCGGCACAAGTAAGTAGCGGGGTCGTGTAGCTCCGCAAGTAGGGCTTTGCCTGATGGACATGAGGTTCGTCTTCTCCGGCGAACCTCTCACGCCTTCCTTTGTGTGAAAAATGCTGTAATAATTAATTTTGCAAACATTAATATTAATATTCTGTTACAAATACTTGAAAACAACATTTAAATAGACTGTAGTTTACCAATTACAGCTCGTTTAGTTCACTGAATTGAGTTTTTAATTCGAGTTTAGATGTGACTTTACTGTAGCAAAAAAATTAGATGTGACTGTTTCTGAGAGCTTTTTACTGTAGTAAAACTCGAATCGGTGAAATGAACCTGTATAATATATATATATATATATATATATATTCTTCTATTTTCTTTTTCTTTCTAGAAACTTTTGGAGAAAGTGGGAAAAGAATCTTGATAGCTTGAGGGTGAAGACATTCCCATTAAACATAATTTGACTCCAGTACAGTATTTCAATATTCTTGGAGGGTTTCATTTATGATTTTTCTCATAGCTTCTTTGGCAGCTTTTCGGCGTACACGCGTTTTTGTTAAAGGAAAACTAGTGCACGAGTTTGTTCAATGCCTTTTGTATCATCAAAGAAAAAGTAGTTAAACCTAATATTAAAAACAACGTCCGTAAATGTGAAGGAACCAAACACAAATCAATTCATGATTAGACCTTTACAGGAGACCTTTATACGACATATATCCATAAGTGAAGATGGATGTAACAAAAAACATACAATAACCGAGATCTAACGGAAAAAGACCCACTTAACATTTACAAAATTGAGCGCAACCAAAATTCGTTAGAAAAAATTACCACAATCGATGAATAAAACAAATCCACCAACCAAACTCAAATACTGGTGATACGGTCTAGAAACAACTCTAGTCATACATCAACAAACACACCGTTGATAACCAATTCAGACGAGTAGGGCACACAAACGAAATTGAAAGGACAGAAAACTACCTTCATTGTTAAAACAACTCTACTGTTGAGATTTGTCAAATATTCTAATTGATTTTCATGATTTGTACATTAGTTGTCCTTATCTTGATTGAGGTAAATTTAGGAAACTTAGTATAATTGGGGGAAATTATCACTCACTGACAGCTTATATCATTAAAGAATAATCCCTATTTATATTTATGAACAAACTGATCATTGTAAATTATCAGAGAATAATTGAATGAATGAAATTTATGATCCGTTGATATAGGTAAATTGCCGAACCACGTAAAATTTCTATATTATTTCTTTTCTTTTATCTTTATTTTCTAGACATACAATAATATATATCTTTAATATGATCTGGAAATAAAGAACATGTGAACATATTATTCTCTTTTTTTGTGCATGTGAAGGAAAAAAAAATGATAAGAGAGATTCTGGAGATTATAAAGTATAAGCTGGGTTTTTAGGTCTTCTTTGTTCTGCTTATTATGTTTTTTTTTTAATTTAAAAAAAACAAAAAAAAAGGAAGTAGATAGCCATCGAGGTGAGACCCACATTGACACAGAATAAGATGTATGGTGCTTAAATGTCATTTGCAACTGTCTAGATAGTCTTTCAATAGAGTGACATTATATTGTTCTTTCTAGATCTCTTTTGTTTTTTTTTTTTTCTTTCTTGAACCTGAAGATGTAAGATATTTAAACTCTGAAGCTCGATGAATAAAAAATAACCTCTAAATTTTTTATTAATATAAGATATATCTTTGATATATCTTTGATCGTAATTTTTATTAATAGCTTGTTTATTCCAAAAGTTTAAACATAAACTTTGAATAAAAATTTAATTTTTTTTAATAAAAAAAACTACTAAAAAGATTTAAACGGTTGTTTAAACTCCCGAACAAAATTTTCTGTTATTTGCATGTTTATACAGAATATGATTTGATATAGTCCAATTAAAACAAAATATACCACGCGTCGATAAAGTAAATACAGGAAAATACGTATACAAAAGATTGATTGATAAGTCCAGTTAAGGCAAATGAATATGGGATGGTTGACCGTCTTTACAATCCCTACGCCCAAGAGTGCGACTTACTAATAATATTGTAGTGTTCAATAAAAACAAAAATAATACAAAGAAATTGAAAATTTAAACATTTGACTTTTTTTTTTGTTCGGCTCTAAAATGAAACTAAACAGTTGACCATTTCGAGTCTTTTTAGTTTTGCCATTCAATTTTCTCCGTCGGCTCCGGTGACTTCAAACTTTTCGGCCATCTAGATCTGCCCTTTTTTTTCTTCCTTTATTATTATTATTATTATTATTATTATTATTATTATTATTATTTGCTCCGCGGGAGAGAAACAAATTAGGCCCCTCTAAAACAAAAAAGAGAGAGAGATAGGGAGAGAAGAATATGACCCTTCTAAAACTTGCAAAAAGAAAATGAAAACTGTGAATATGAATATATATATCGAGAAGAGAATTTTCAATTCGTCAAATCTCTATCACGTTTCAATTTTTGTTCCATTATTATTATTATTATCAATATTTAAATTGTTAGATATGCTTACTTATTTTGACTTTTTTATGAGTTATTTTGATTTTTAATGTTCATACTTTTACGTATAAAACGTTCACTATCAGTAGCCGATATTTTATTTTCTTAATACAATAACGTCTAAGACTAGATTTTAGTGTGTAAATTGCCACATATGGAAAAAAGTAGAACGTTTTGTTTTATTTTACTTCATTTTATATTTTGCCACGAAGAAGGAGCATGGGATTTTAAGAAAATGAACAAGTGTAGGATAGTTGTTGCACATATTACAGTTCTTGCATGTATGAAAGATTGTAATTTGAATTTGTGGTGGTTATAGTTTAATGGGAAAGGAATAAAAGGTCATGGAAGGAGAGTTTGAATTCAAACTTGGGAGAATGATTTGCAAAAGGCAGTAGTGTAATATGTAATGTGATGTAATGTAATGATCATATGCATATGATGTGGATCTCCTAGTGTTTACATTGCCTACCACATAACTAGTGATTTTTTTTTTTTTTTTTCATTTTTTTGCTGTGAAATGACCAACTAACTAGTGTTTTGGTTCCATGTGTTGGGAAAGACAGAAGTGGGTCTCTCCCATTTTCCATGCCGCCAAATAAAACCAAAGTGGAAAGACAAAAGTTGGTCTCTCTCAATTTGAGTTAAAAATGAACGGAGAAAATTGTGTTAA